ATATATATATATATATATATAGTTTTTTTTTTTTTTTGATTGGCTACAGAGCAAACACCTTTTAATGTGAATAACATAGTTAAGCCTTTAAATTGCACTGAATACTAGTATATTGCATAATCTAGTGAAATATTATTAACTGTGATCATAGTAGACAGAATAAATGAGTCCTTGAAACTATTATGTTTAAAAATGTGTTAAAAATCTTTAAAAGAAATAAAGTTTACAGGAAGGCTAATAACTTTACATGTATACACACACCTGTTGATGGACTGACCAAATAGGATGAGTCTGCCTCATTTTAAAATTAATATTCAGTACTGCATACTTACCCTACATGAAGCCATCAAAATGTCAAAAAACATGCATATGTAATATCACAAGTTATTAAAGGAGTAAAGTGAGGAAAAAAATAAATAATCATCAAAACTTGCAACAGCAGCATATTTTTAATTAAACATGCAGAAAGTGACTGGGGAGACGAGGAGAAAATCCGCTCCGGGTTCTGTGGACGGCTGAGGGTTTTTTTTCACACCAACGGCTGGACCAATAACTCACACATGACAAAAGCTTGGATGAGTTATACCTCTGTCAAAACGGCAGGAACATAAAACAACTATATATTTCATTATCAATTTCATGCTTGGGTTGCTCACTGTTTTTCCAGTGGTTCTCATCCGGTTTAAGGCATCCGCTTAGAAGCAAGAGAAATGTGCTGTTTGTGTAATGTGAAAGGTGTTTTACCTTTGACCACTAAAGTCCCAGAACTGCTGGATGTACCAAAGGGGTTTCTGGCGACACAGGTGTACCTTCCTGCATCGGATTTGGTAATGTTGGTGATCCTAAGAGTGCCGTCTTCTAAGATGGTGCGCCTAAAAAGGCAAATACAAAATATCACAACAAGTATCAACAACTAATGACGTTTTGCTATAGTAATTCAATTTGCACAGTACACAGTACATACATTTTTTTAGGGTGCTTTCACACCTGTAGATTAATTGTTTTGTTCCGAAACAGTAATTCAAATTTTTACAATTTTACTTTTTGTTCTTAATGTGGTTCGCTGTCACACAGCAAAGTTTCTAAATTTACCAATTTATTTATTATTTATTTATGAAGATGAAAAGACATTATGAGGAAAAGCACTTTAATTTTGAATGGTGGCACCCACAGACATAGCAACCAAATATAAATACTGTAAGATTTTCTCATACATAGTCGTTGGCTAGAGTTATGCATTATAAGCTTTACATTATAATGAGAAATTACAGACAAACCAAGACTGCAGTTTGGTCAATTTTCCTAACAGATAAACAACACTCTGTAATGTTTCAGCATGCTTTCACTTTCATATTCGACATGAAATGCAATTTTACCGGTAAGAATGACATCCCGCCCTACTCATCATTCTCTCTTTATCTAGCTGTTTATATGGCTATTACATATCAAAACAACACTAGCCTGGTTCGTTTGTGTGTTGCGTTGTATTGCTTTCTCACTACAATCCATATGCTCCAGGGTTCGTTTCAATCAAGCCAATACCAACTCATTCAGATGATCTCAGAATGATTGTTTTGGACACAGATCCAAGCGCAATTGCTGGATTCGCATATGCCAAACAAATCGTGCTTTAGGCAGAAGACTATATATATATATATATATATATATATATATATATATATATATATATATATATATATATATATATATATATATATATATATATTATTTACATAAAAACTATTAAATGTTAATATATAATTAAATTAAAATATTTTAAAATAAATATAATATAAATAAAATATATATTGAATATTCATTTAATCATTTTCTTTTCAGCTTAGTTCCTTTATTAATCTGGGTCGCCAAAGCAGAATGAACAGCCAACTTATCCAGCACATGTTTTACGGAGTGGATGCTCTTCCAGCCGCAACCCATCTCTGGGAAACATCCACACACACACACTCATACACTACAGACAATTTAGTCTACCCAATTCACCTATACTGCATGTCTTTAAACTGTGGGGGAAAACGGAGCATCTGGAGGAAACCCATGCATAGCATATTAAAAAAAAAAAAAAAAAAAAAAACATCTTGAGGGTCTTGTGAAATTTTCAAATATTTACAGCAAACATCTATAGTGTTGGCTGTTTTACTTATGCACAATTTGAAATTGTGCAGTATGTTTCAGAAATCAAACAAAACACAATAGTTAATGGCTCAGTGAATCGCTCCTTAAAACAGTTACTTGTTACCACATACAGGAAGTTTTGATGCGATTTATTTATCCTTGAAAAGTCTAATCAAAAACTAGGACACCCAGCACAATCATTCATTCATTTTCCTTCGGCTTAGTCTCTATTTCAGACGTCGCCACAGCACAATGAACCACCTTTCCAGCCGCAACCAAGTATTGAGAAACACCCATACACACTCATTCACACACAGACTCCTGCACTACGAACAATTTAGTTTATTCAATTACCCAATAGTGTGTGTTTATGAACTGTTGGGGAAACCAGAGCACAAAGAGGAAATCCAAGCCAACACTGGGAGAACATGCAAACTCCTCACATAAATGCCAACTAGCCTAGCCAGAACTCAAACCAGCGACCTTCTTGCTGTGAGGCGACAGTGCTAACCACTGAGCCACCGTGCCACCCCCACACTAAGCACAATAATATTTAATTAAAATTCCCCAAACGAACAATGTAATATAAAACTGTTAGACTAAAAGCATTTTCTGCTTAATCTTTTACTGGAACAAATAAAAAACAATAAGCAGAGGTCTTTAACTCAAGATGTTCACTGACACACACAGTCTGCTCAGATAGTGCTTTACTGTTCAAGGATACAGCAACCTTTTCTTCCTTTTTTTCTTGCTGCCCAAAATGAATTCTTAAAGAAACAGACCCAACTATACACCAGGCAGAAAGAAAAAAACAAAACCTTGTATTTTTCTCTCTCTGTATGCTCGTATTTCATTTAAAAAAAAAAACATGAAAGCTGTAAGAAATCAGTTAGATTAAATAACCATTGGCAGCATTTTCAACAGGATACAGTCAGTCAGTGGGATCCCAAAAGATGAAACACAGATGAACACCGAGCGAATAAAGGGAGGGAGGAGGACGTAAAAGAGAAGCTGATTCATTTTGGTTTGAATTCCTACCTGCCGCCTTATCATTATCCAACATGTGTAAGATGTTATCGACACATAAAAAAAGGCGTTGGCGAAAAGGCAACATGAGCAGATGTGATTATGGCTCTCCTGTAGAAGTTTGTCTGCATCATGTGAGGAGATGTTGATAAGGTCTGACTGAAATCTGACTTTGCAATGGAGCTGCAGCGGCACAAACAAAACATTCTCTGTCGCTCTGCTCAAACTCAGTATTATTAGAGGTGGCTGTTCATAGAGGTTATAGATTTTTCATAACCCCTACAACTTATTTGGCAGACATAGATGATGGCTAAAATGATGTGGGGTGTGTGGAGAGTTCTGTAAAGCATAATTTCAAGACTTTTTAGGTGAACACATTTTTTAGGTGAACAATTAATCCATGTAAGTTAATCCACACACACTCACACCAAAACGTTTATTTTCATAATCAAAATCTGACCATTTGCTTACGCGTTTGAAGTGCCAGTACTTCTCTGTTGACATCAGGCTTTAACTACAATACTGTAAACCGCGCCCCTTTTACAGTTAGTTTACTATGATGCAGTAACTAAATCTGCTTACTATCATCTCAAAAACATTGCAAGAATTAGATGCTTTGTTTCCAGTAAGACTTAGAAAAAACTTGTTCATGCTTTTATCACCAGCAGGGTGGATTACTGTAATAGACTCCTCACTGTCCTTCCTAAAAAGGCAGTTGCAGCTCATCCAGAACGCTGCTGCCAGGATTGTGACCAGAACCAGAAAATCCGAGCACATCACACCTGTCCTCGGGTCTTTACACTGGTTCCCAGTTACATACAAAATAGATTTTTAAGAGTTATTACTTGTCTATAAATCACTAAACGGCCTAGGACCTCAATACACAATGAACCACCAACTATTTCAGCAAATGTTTTATGCAGCAGATGCCCTTCCCCAGCTACAACCCAGTACTGGGAAACACCCATACACACTCCTTCATACACATTCCTACGCTATAGACTATTTCATTCATTTATTTTCTTTTTGGCTTAGCCACTTTATTAATCTGGGGTTGCCACAGCGGAATGAACTGCCAACTTATCCAGCATATGTTTTTATGCAGCGTATGCCTTTCCAGCTGCAACCCATCTCTGGGAAACATCCACACACTCATACACTACGGACAATTTAGCCTACCCAATTAACCTATACCACATGTCTTTGGACTGCAGGGGAAACTGGAGAACCAGCGACCTTCTTACTGTGAGGCGACAGCACTACCTACAGCGCCACCGTTTCACCTATGAACAATTAAGTTATTCAATTGATCTATCCCGCATATCTTTGGACTGTGGGGGAAACCGGAGCACCTGAAGGAAACCCATGCAAACACAGCACATGCCAACTTCAAACAAATATGTTAACTGGCCCATGCAGGACTCAAACCAGTGACCTTCTTCCTGCGAAGCAACAGTGATAACCACTGAGCCACCATGCCACTTTATTATTATTATTATTATTATTATTATTAATGATTTAGGCCCCCTAAATCTTCAATTGTATGTAAATGAACAGCCATAGACATGTACAAGATGTAAAACATTTTTCATTTTAATGCCCCCTAACTTAACCAGTTCTGATAGGTCATTGTGGTTAAGAAAATAACAAATAAGTCTGATTGGGTATTTTTCTCAATGCTACAAAAGTATGTTTTACCTTTAAAGCTCAAACCCAAACATGGACTGAAGTGTTTGCCAAATCTCCAGTATGCTATTATTAGGCTACAATTTTCAACCAGGGCTTTCTTATAGAGTGCAGAGCTCCCCTGTAGAAATGGGCTTGACCCAATCAATGAGGCAGTGACTTTTAAAAGCACCTCACAACAACTCAACAACAACTGTGACTTCTGTACCTCTCACTTCTTCCTAAGAAAAAAAGTACAATTTTATTCCATTCATGTATATTTCATATAACCGAAGAAAACATACACGGGAAGCAATTCTCAGAAGTGCTTCATCTACCTTGACGTACATCAACAAACAATGCTGCATGCTTTTTTAATAACTAGAAACGGAATGGAAGGCATGATAGATAAACAAATGCAGCAATGTAAATATATAACACCCAGATCCTCTGTGACCTTCTCCCAGAACAAATCAAACACGAGCGCAGCAGACCTGCCAGCTCAGAAATCAAACAATTTCAGCCGCAGCTTTTTAAAATAAATATGTATTTACTGTGGCTCAGCGAACATGCTTTACGGTGGGAGCTTGCTGCTGATTTATTGACAAAAATATCAAACGCTGAGCGATAGAAGCGTAGCGGCTAGACGATCCGTGAGCAATGAGCTGCAAAACCAATAGAAAAAAAGGCAAGAATGATCTGGCTCACGGAACCAAACTTCTGACCACACTGAGCTGCATTTATATTTGCGTCAAGACATGAAGACTTCGTAATCAGTCTCTGATCCTTCCGCTCCTGACCGCCCGGCGGAATACAATGACTAATCGATGCTTCTCTTTCGTAAGTTGTGAAGGGAATGTCTCACAGAAAGTCTTTATATTGTCTTGATGCAAACGCAGGAGTGCGAGATTCTACATTAGATTGACGTGTTCGTGTTTGCACCTCTTCCAGCTTGATCACAGTGTAATTTGCTGTGTAAACATGACAAACTTAACAGTCACACATATTTACCCACAAATCTTCTTTCTGTCTTTTCCTTTACTCATAA